GGGGGGGTGGTCGTCCGCTGAGGCGCGCTGAAGTGGCAAACTGCATTGCGCTTAATGAGAAAATTTCACAGCCAAAAAAAAGTTTATTTCCAGTTGTTTGCTTATTTGTTGGTGGTTTTCTTTTTTTGCCTTTTCAACTTTCGCTTTCCCCTTCGACTGTGCACTGTCGGCCTCTCGCTTTTCACATCTTCATTTTGGTGCCGAGGTTTCTTTATTTTTTTATAAATGTAGAAGATTAATTATGACCTAAAAAGGGGGTGAGAGAGTGTGAGTCGAGAAAACTGAAATTTTCTAGCCATGAATCATTCGAAGACTCGAAGCGAATTGGCAACTAATCTCATCCTCATGGGGGTCATGCATATAAATCCAGCAACCGCAGACACACATTTTGCCACATTGCCAGGCGGCAGGCACCTCAAATTAAATTAAGCCATAATTTATTTCTCAGAAAAAGAGCAGGAATGGAGGAAAGAAAAGCTCAAAATTCAAATGCCCAACAAAAATATGGCTCTAAAATCTGCTGCACAGCCACACACACATGCACACACACACACACACTCCAGTTGGCAAAGAGGAAAGAAATGCAGAAAAGTTGAGAGAATTTATTGGAATTCCATCAATTGTGGTGCCGATCTCTGTGCTCCCATTTCGAGTGGTTAGGCATCCCACTGTGCCCCGCACAAAAACTCAACTCCAACTGCCAGGCATTGCTTTGAGTGGACACGGAGACAGGAGGCAGAGGCAGGAGACAGGAGACAGAAGCCAGAGCCAGAGCCAGAACTAGCGTGGTCCCAGGCAGGGATGGCAAGAGTTTGACCCGCAGGAGGGACTTTGGCACGGAACGGCTCATCATAAATACAAAGCAGGGCAGCGCTTTGTCAGGCAACGTTCGACACTTTTATTGGCTCCCACACTCTGCTGGGTGCCTGCCGCACCTCCTATCGTCCTTCTCCATCCTTCTGGCCGTCATCGATATGCCAGCAGCATCCGGTAGTTCCATCTGCCTGGCTGTGCTTCAAACTCCTGCAGCATCTCCTGACCCAACTCCTGCAGCGGCTCCTGCATCACTCCTGCAGCATTCTATTGCTCCAACATCTGCTCCTTTGCTACCTTCTATCATGCCCTAGGCACCTCCTGCCTGCAGGCTACGCCTCGGTTTGGGGTTCCTTTGTGCCAGGCAAATGAAATTGAAAATTTTTATTATGCCCATCCCGCAGCGCCCCAGAACTTGCACAAGTTTCGAGAATGTTGAAAATTTAAGCAGCTATATAAAGTTGGTTAATCCAGCAGCTGATTAAGATGAGATTGAGAGCAGTCAGTGGCAGTGGCACAGCCGGAGGTGAAGCCTTGGGCAAAGGTTAATGGCATAGTCAAAGCCAAAGTCTGTGTAATTTTTATGACTTGACTAGCAATGGGCTACACGTGCTCTCTCCGTGATGTTTATGGCATGCTGCTCGGCCTCTATTCATCTGCAGCAGGAAGGAGTAAAGAGAAAAACTGCAGCTTAAATATTTTGTAGAGCAGAACTCTGGAACTAAACGAGTTAGCAGAGGGTCGGTTGGGGTCGATTGGGGTGGGGCCTGTATGGCTCCAAAAGTAGCTGGCAAGTAACAAGCTTAACCACAAAAGTTTTAAATAAACTTTTGTTGCTATTTTTCCTACATATACATACATATAAAGTCGTACTCGTATTTGTGCAGAATGCGTTCGCGCAAGCGGCATAACTATAACTTCCGATTCCGGGTGGAGGCTGGGGGGGTGCCGCTGAAGTTGTTGCCTTGTAATACAGTTAAATATAAATTCAAAATATATACGAGTACGAGTGCGAGTGCGAGAGAGCAACTTTCCTTGCCACCATTTTTCCTTGTTGGTTTTTGCTTTCTTTTTCCCATTTTTCCTCTTTTTTCCTTTGCGTTTCGTTTTCTATTTTTTGTTGCCACGTTTTTGTTACTTATGCAATTTGCATGAGCGGCAAACACCCACGGAACAACTAACAAGTCTGCCCGACAGCAGTAGCAGTAGCAGTAGGAGCCGCAGCCAACAGCCACAGCAACAATGATGGCAGCCAGCAAACTTCCTGCCTGATGAATAAGTGTCTGCTTCGCCATGTTTGTTCCTTTTCCCGCCTCTTTTTGCCTTACTCCTCTCTGTATGTGTGTGTGTGCATGTTTAGCTTGTTTAAATGTGTGCAACAAACAACAATTATTAAAAGCAACTTCCTAATTGAGAAAATAAAAAACAACAACAATAATAACTGCCTCGATTGGGGCACAATGGGCAGCACAAGTGGAGTCGAGCCTTAAATCGTTTCGAAATTGGATCAATTTAAAATCAAGTGAAGAACTGAAGAAACCCTGATGGAAATTTTCAAGAATTCCTTGAGGATATTTACCTCAAGCAGAACCTACCTTTTCTCAGCTCATTTCACCCATTGTACTGCCAAGAGGAGGGCAGCAACAGCAGCCGCAGCCTGGCATAAATTGAACGCAGCACAAGACGGACTTCCGGTCGGACCAACCGCCATGTTTTTATGCATGCAGCCTGCGCACTGTGCCTGTGAGTGTGTCTCGCTCTCTGTGTAAAAATACAGTTTAACAGAAAGAAGTGTAACAAAAAGCAAAACAAGAGCGAAAGCAAACAGAACAGAGCAGGCAGCAGGCATCAGACAGCAGCCAGGCCCAAATGAAGTTATACAAACGCTGATAGCCAAAACGAGAGGCTGCCGCGAGCAACAGTCCCAGCAACAACAACATCAACAGAAACAACCAACAACGGCAACGGCAGCAGCAGCAAAACAAATGGCGAGTCATATTAATTTCTGCTATCTCCGTGACGCTTTACATGCGTACTCCTCGTAGTCGACGCAACTCTGGCAATAAATTTGATTTGTTTAGCAATTTGTTGCATATCGCATTGCGCATACGCCCCGTGCATCCATCTCCTTGCAGTCACGTCGTCGCTCTGGCGCTTAGCTCTGGGCTCTCGGCTATGGGTCTGCATTGGCTTTAACAATGAAAAACGTCTGTGTGTTGGTTATTTTTCCCTTTTATGTTGCAGCTTCATGCCGACATTTTATGCACTCCCATTGACAATAATTTATATTGAAATGTGTCGCAACAGGACTCGAGCACCATAGTCTACATATGTCTGGCTCCATGCGTGGGTGCATTAGTTTCGAGTGGTTGGCGCATTTAACATGTTCTGCATGGCCATAATTCATTCGATCAAGTAAATTACCTTTTTCTCAGAGAAATCCAACATCCAGAGGTGCAGTACTCCAGCCAAAAAAAACGCGCGTTTGTGGAGAGTTCTGCCCATTTATTTCGCATTCTGGCAAACAATTATGACCGAGCACTTCCTCCCCAGTGAAAATGCAATTCTAATTTGTCTGTGTGGAGCCATAACTGTCAGTGCAGCAGTTTGCCAATTGGCGACACTTGCAACAAAGTATCCTTCTCTTCCCCATTATTTTTGGGTGAAGAAAAACGCAATCGATGAAGTTACTGGTCCTGGGGTCCTGGTTTCGGGGCGGGTTCCTGGCTGAATCTTTGTGAACACTTGAATAATTAATAACAATTTAGCATGCACTTAATTTTAATTATTACTCAATTAGGTCAGCGCCATTACAATTTAAGTACGCGAGGCGTAATTAAACAATTTTCAGGCCAATGGCAGCCAGCCCTTTCACCAAGTTTTCCACCCACATCCGCGCTCGTCCGGGAGTTTAATTTTCCGGGTCCAGCGCGTTTTCGTTTCGCTTGGAAGTTTGTTCGGCGCTGTCATTAGGGATGGTTTTGTGTGTAAATTTGATTTCATGACATTTTGTCAGTGCCGCATTTATGATGCACATAAATTTTACGACCAATTTCAAGTTATAAATAGTTGACGAGGGGAAATCAAACGCCAATGAAGTGACGATGGAGTTGGCAAACACGGTCAAATTATCTGCTGACGCTCTTAAGTTTTGATTGCATCAAGTGAGAATCTCTTTTCTAACTAAATCTAAAATATAAAATAAGGAAAGGAGCGAGTATTCCCTGCGGTTGCAAGAGGTCTGCAATTCCATTAATTTTTCCTGTGTGTGGAAAGTGTTCGAAGTTAAAGGTTGAAATGGGCGCCAGAAATGGAAGCAATTTGAATGTCATTAGGCGGAGCAGCATCCCAAGACAATCAAAAAATCCACGCATGGAGACACGGAAGCAGGAAACCGGATGCTGAATGCCGAATGCCAAATGCCGAATCCGAAACCGATGACAACACCGAAAAAACAAACGCAAGAGGCAGAGAAAATAAAGAAAGGTATAAATAAAACTTCATATCTGATTGAATAATAATGTGTGCTTAAGGATTTAATGCGCTGCCGGCAGCTGCTCGAGGCCCCAGGACGACTCTCTGGGAAGCTCCCAATGGGGGAAAAAACAACGACGACAACAAAATGTTAAATTACAATACCATGAACGGCAGAGAAAGGCGACACACGGCCAGTGGGGAATTTTGTTTGCCTCGATGCTGATTGCCAAAAAAAGAACGAATAAAAATAAAACAACACGAAAAAGGAAGAGAACAGAAAGCATACAACAGAAAGCAGGCCAGATCCTGGCTAGCAGGGGCAAACAATTGAATTTCCTTATAGCACGTTTTCAAATTAACCCAGCAGCCCAGCCCAAACCCCAATATGCATATGTGGGTTCCCTGGGTTCCTGGTCCTGGTCGTGGCCCCACGGGGATTGGGTGTCAAGCTTATTTGAATTTCAAATACAATTTCGTGTTGGTACCCTTTGCGAAACTATCATCATTAGCAGCACATTTAGGCAGACAGCACCAGCCGCAAACTTATCCTTTTGGCAAAGGAAGAATCCGGTACTTACTGTATAATAGGACGATGATTATAACTAAGAAATAAAGCAACTACTTCCATTTGCTTCCTATGAAAAGTCGGACTTAATCGTTTATGCTACAGGAATTTTGTACATGCATTTGGAAAATAAAAGTCATAATCGCAGCTTTGCTTCAAGCAATCAATTCAATGAGATGCCAAACTGCAGCAACAACCACAAAGCCAAATGACACTGAATGGAAAACACAATTGCTAATAGGAATAAACGAAATTAATGTTAATATTTGCAGCAAAGGAGTGCTTCAAGACATACTTGGGTCTGGGCACATTTTTTTCGAATTCTCCCAGCATATTGGGAGAGGGCTGGTAGCGTGCCACAACGTAATTGACACCAGATTTGGTTTCCTTACCTATCCCCATTTTGGTGGAGGCCTTCCACACGAGGGCCGTGAAGTGACCGGTTTCTAAAGAGAAACCTGGCATATTGAAATCGTATTGGGATATTTCATCATACCACATTTTTACACAAGAAGTCGCCTCATCCCCGGTGTAGCATAAGTTCTCACCAAACCCTTTTTGTTTCGAGTGCTCCAATGTACCCCTTGCGGCCAATATCTGTGTATGACAACCATTTAGATGGTCCGTGTCTTATTTTTTTTTCTGTTGCATCCATACCTTGGCATAGTCCTCGCAGCCGGTCGTTAGTTCGTGGTCCAATTGTAACGCCGGGCAACCGTGCTTTGCCCTATACTCATTATGAATTTTGAGTGAATCCTCAGCAAAATCAGCATGAGCCTGGACAAACTGCAACTAAAATTGATCGATCATCAATTGAGTTTGTAACGTGTATTATTTATTTTATTGCGCTTACTACACAAAATGGTAACAAAATCAGAATATACATAGAAAGGACCTGCATTATTATACGTTTTTTTGGGGAATTCTAAATTTTGTTTGGAAAATTTTGTTTGTAACTAAAGATGTATCGTAGGACAGACAGATTTCTCAGGGCTATATTTACGTAGTTTCTCTCTGTTTTCCGTCAGGAACAGCCTCTTTATTTCCAACAGCTTTCCCTTGATGTTAACATCTTTATGAAGGTTTAATGCATTCCAGCATTAAGGACACGGGCTTTACAGATGACTTCAATATAGGGCCATGGGCAGCCGCGACCAGGACAAAGGATAATGTGATGAGTGGGGATAGTCAGCGACAGCGGGCACGCCTCCACCATCCCACATGAGATATTAAGTTGTTTGAATGCTGGGGCCAACAATGGGCTAGATATCGGCCCACTTGTGCCCTGGAAACTCCCCGTGTGTGTCTCAGTAGCCGCAGCGCATGTGGCTGATGCTTTGGGCCATCATTGCCGCGTGGCAGCGGTGACACAAACAACAACTGCAAAGTAAGTACTTTGTCCTCCGCTTCGGCTTTGGCTTTGGCTTTTTTGGTTGTAAAATGTCAATTTGGGCCCTTGACAAAGATTTATTGTGTGGCGGAGGCGTCAGTGTTTGATGGGCGCGCGCTTAAATATCTTCCTTCTCCCCCCCCCTCCTCATTCAATGTATGAACATATTTCCACTATCAGTTCCAGTGGAAACCAGCACCATCATCATCAGCAGCAACACAGAGGCCTGACTCTGTCACTGCCAGTGCAATTCATTTTTTAATTTTGTGTGTTTTATTTAGTTTTTGGTGTGTCCACAATCCAATTTAGATACTACAAAGGCAAGCTCAACTGTGCGCGGAATGAAAGCAACAGAGTCACCAAAAATAGTCAACGCTGGGTGTCTGGGAGTGTGGCATTCAAATGGAAATGGCATATTCTCCAGCCTCATAATGGAGAACACCAACAAAGCGCACACAAAATTCAACATTTTTGACAAAAATGAACACCAAAAGACGTCAAGGGGATGAAGAATATAAAATGCATTCAAATGGGTATACTAAATGTAATTTATAACACCAAAAACAGTCTCCTGATGTGAGTGATCTCAGGGGGAACCGACCTCGGCAAAACTAATTTCCTTTAATTCAAGCAGAGCTAACACTGTTTCAGGACTCTCAGGCTGTCTCAGCTGCTTTGTCCGTTTAAGCAGCTGTGCCGATCCCCAATCCGTCTGCTATCCTGCTATCCAGATCCAATCATGCTCCCTGATGGCAGCCCAGACCGACATTCGATGGATTGACCAACGCAGTTTGTTATTTTTCGTGTGCAACAGAGCGTTTCGCTTGTGCCTGGAGGTTATCTGTGCCCTGCCCCCATCCTCTGCCAAATTTCCCATGCCATACCATAAACCATCCTAACCAGAGGGCGAAAATAGAAGAAGATGGGGAAACTTTTCCAGTGGCAGTTCACCTGCCTTTTTTTCCTTTATTTGTCCAAAAAGTTTCGCTCTGTTTTTGCCAGATTCCCGTATTCGTTCATCCGGACGGAAGGACGGACAGGCGACGTATGTTTTTCACCTGCCCAATGCTTCCACTCGCTCCGCTCCGCTCCACACTGTGTTCAGGTTGAGGTTCGTGTTCGTATTTGTTTGCGTATTATTGCCCCTCACTGTCGCTGGCAAATCGGGTTTGTTTGCCCACCTCCACCATCTCTTTCCTCCCTGGTGGTAGGTGTGCAGGTGTGCGTGAATTTCCCGCTGACAATTGTGATTTTCGCTTGGTTCAGCATCGGGCAAAAGGTTTTTAATTAGATTTTACTTCATTTTCCGCTGTCATTCAATGGCAATGTGCGTTGTCTGCTTCTACTCGCTGCTCGCTGCTCGCTGCTTTTGCCTTCCCCCTCCATTTCTATTCAACAAAACGAGTTGTTCCGTTCAATCATTCAATTGCCCGGTTGATTTATTTGGTTCTTTTTTTCGTTGCAGGTTTGCCGGTTTCAGGTATTAATATAAAAAGAACCGATAAAATCTTGAATTATAGGAATGCCATCACTGATTTTACACTGCTTTTTCTTGTCTATTTATTGAATTTTTCTGATAAATTTAGGGAATTAAACCTTATAAAAAGCATTAAAAAAAAATACCAGCTCCTAAAGATTCTTTGGGTTAAATAAAATAAAATATATTTATATTATTTATTGGGGCAAATGTATTCACTACATTAACACAAAGAAAAACGGCTTGTTTATCGATAGTTTATCCAACAAACTGAAAAGATGTTATATATGATAGCAGGGCTCATTGGAAAACTGATACTTCTGTTAATTTAATATTAATTATACAATTTAAACAGACAGACTGTAAATAAAAAGAGAGAGAAAACAAACAAACAAAAATTGTTTCGAGACGCTAGAACTCTGTTGTCAATTGTTGTCAGGTTGAAAAGTCAAAAATTCAGTAATCAGAATTGAGAAGGGGAGAAAAGTTATCATAGAGCTGCACAAATTGGTACAAGAAAAGGTACACAAAATGGGAACAACAAAGGTAGAGAAGAATCTATGGCTTGCCACATTGTTTGAGCAAAAACGTGGCTTCCGAAAATTGGTGTCAAACAAATCAGTACTCGTTGTTGGTGATAATGGCACCGGCAAGTCGTCCCTCATTGCCAAGCTGCAGGGAAGAAGGCCCCCAAAGTATGGTGGCGGCTTGGAGTTTGGCTACATTGATGTTGAGGACGAGAGCAATGGTGACAAGACGCAGTTGGTAGTTTGGATATTGGATGGTGACGCGGGGCATACAAATCTGTTGCCCATTGCACTCAACGAAAATAACTTGGGAGAAGTACTCGTCATGCTTACAGTTTCGATGATGGTACCTTGGACCTGGCCTGAGCAGCTCAAGTATTGGATAAACGTACTGGAACGCCACATCGAAATCCTGCCGCTGGCTGCCGAACAGAAGGAGGCGGCACGCAAGCGCCTTGTAACAAAGTGGCAGAGTTACTGCTACACAGGATCGACTTTACAGCCAACAAACGGGTGTCAAAACAAGGAAATCGATGTGGATGAACTGTTGCCGCTGACTAAGGATGCACTTACCACAAATATTGGTCTCGACCTTGTAGTTGTGGTCACAAAGACGGACTGCATGGGGGCCGCCTTTCACATGGAGCACGAGTATGGTGATCAGCATTTCGATTTTATGCAGCAATGGATACGCAAATTTTGCCTCCGTCACGGGGCTGCACTCTTCTACACGAGCCTGAAAAAAGCAACAACCTGTGATAACCTGCAGAAGTATCTCTTTCATCGTCTTTATGGTCTGCCGTTCCAAACTCCCCCGATGGTCGCTGACCAGGATGCAGTACTCGTTCCGGCTGGCTGGGATACCCTGAAGAAGATTGATATTTTGACTGAAAACATCCCTGGACTCGACCCCGATTGCGACTACACGGACATCATCAAGGCACCATTCACCGGGAGTGCGATTTTCAATCGAGATTTGGAATTTGTGGAAACCGTGGATGAGCAGGCCTTTCTGGCCCGCCAGTTGGAGATACTCAGGAAACTCAATCAAGCCGATGCAGAGGGAGGCGGCGACTCCATAAGCCGCACACACCCAACCAGCACTGGACAGTGCTCACCCACGAATCCTGATCCTGATGGCCCTTTGGCCAAGTTCTTCGCTAAACTTATGGAGAAGAAGCCGCCAATTAGCAGCAGCGCTGGTGATGGTCCGGTGTCGGAGTCTGGCCGCAACGACACCGAGAAGTTGGCCGCAGAATTGGATCGCTTGTCGAGCAGCATCAAGAAGAAGAAAGACCAGAAAAAACCAAAGTAAACGCAACCAAACATGAACCGACACGATCAAACCTAAAACAACAACAAAACATTATCAGATTAAAATAAACAACAAATTGGGCAGCAAATCATTTGCTGTAGAGGGAGGGACAATTCCGACGTCGCAGAGAGATTTTGCAATAAGAATGCTAGAATGAAGCTTGAACAGGCAGTGGGAGAGCGGCTGGCGCAGGTAAGGAAGAGAGCGAGAGTGCAACAGAGGAACATTTATTAGCAGCAGAAGCATGGGCGCAGCATGCGCGGGCAACAAGGGGGAGAGAAAAATGTGGATTCATACGAGTTCGAGTATTTAGCCCCCCCTTCACAATATACAGGGTACCCCCCACTATGGCTTTCTGCACTTTCACACACACACAATTATACCACATCATGAGTGAATTTGCTATGCTCCTCCGCTTTGCTGTTGTTCATTTAAGTAATTTAAAATTCGCATTAAGTTTGTTTGTCGCTGGCATTAAGTTTTATTATGAAGATGAATTGTGGGCATCTGCGGCCCCAACTACATGAGGTCGAGGTCCCATGTGTGTTTTCACAATGTGAATGTTTGTGTTAGCTGAGGGTTAAGTGCCTGCTGCTGCCTAAGCTCTTTTGCAAATGTCATCGTTAGGAAACCGCAGTGGATGCACGCCACAGCGGATAATACTCCTTCAGAGGTGCAATGCACTTCCCTCCTCTCGTTCACCACTCTCCCTTCCAGCAGACCCATGGTGAAATTTTTAATAGGTGACGTCATCAGCTGAGTGCTCCTCATTCGTTTGCCAAACGTTGACGAAAGAGGTTGTGTAGCGCACGATTTTTTCATTGTCTTCTTCTTTTTCTTCATTGTTTACGAATGAAGACGTAAGCGGAAGACAATGAAATAAGCACTAATATTCTATTTCGGATGTGTAATGAAATGTTTATGTAATTGAATCTTTATTCAGTTACATATTTTTTAGAAACAAACATGTCTGCAAAATATTTTTGCTATGCCGCTCCAAATCTTTACTTTGCTTTCAGCAGAAACAACAAAAGCGAAGAGTGCAGAACGTAAAACGTTTGCTATCTCTCTCTAGCGCTTGCCTCTCTGAGAGCTGAGAGAGCGTGGTGAATAAGCTGGTGATCCTCCACTCAGCTGATGACGTTACCTTTTAGTAATTCTACCATGAGCAGACCAATTCAAGTGTCACATAGAAATAGTTGTCAGATAATACCCTGCCTATAACTTCATTCACTCAATTCTAACAAACGTATTGCCGCTTAGCTTGTTTATTAATAATTCTCAAGTCATGGAGACTCCTTGCATATCTAGCCCAAATTTCAGTAACATTGCTCTCCCTGCTAAAGCACCAACTGTGGCCAAGCCTTTGGCCCAGAAGCAAGGCATTCATCCACTTTTGCCCTGCAGAGCTCCTGGACTAGTTCGATGTGTGCCAGAGGCTCATGTACCGTCTGCCGAAACCCTATGGAAGTTCATTGATCTCCCATTGGTTAAGAAGACAAAGATCTTCCACTGCGAGCCGCCACCAGAGCCAAGTCATCCGAAACGGAAGGGTTCAGAGATTACACAGGAGGAGGAAGAGGAGGAGCAGACAAGCGAACAGTCGTCACCATCCACGTTGGATGAGGAAATGCAGCTGGAGGACATCCTGGCCGAGGTGAATCGCATAAAAGGCCGTGTGGGTGAGGTCGATCGCCTGTTGGGAACCCGCATACCCGAGTGCCCCGACATCGATCCGTGCGTGAACATGGACGTAGAGCTGCTGGCATTCAACACAAATCCCGACATCGTGGAGCTGCAGCGCAACACCCACAAGCTGCGGCAGCAGTTGGTGGAGCTACAGATGTGCCGCGTGGCCACTGACAGAAACATAAAGGACATACGGCTGAGCATCTGCCAGGAGATGGAGCATGCCGATCACCTACAGAAGAGCCTCAACGAGCTGGACTCCTTCAAGCGTACTTTGGAGCGGGAGCAGGCTCTCTGCCGGCAGCGCTTCCGCTTCGTTGAGCAGGAGAAGGTCGATGGCGGCGAATGCAACACATACTTCGACACTGAGCGGAATCTGATGGAGTGTTACCTGGACAAGTTGGTCACCAGGCTGGACTACCAGCAGCAGAAGCGGCGGGCCCTCAAGGATATCGACTACATGAAGCTGAAAGCCAAAAGGTTCCACGACCACATGTTCTACGCGATTGGCAAGCTGAACGCCTTCATGGGCACCGACGGGCTCATGCATTCACCGGAGTTGTTGACCTTCCTCTCCCGCAACGAGAAGTTGTTCGGCCCCTGTACCTATTAAACTCACAAATCTGTCTTCAAATCGTTCAATTTGTCTTGGACGAGTGGGGTTGGGGGTCCAGTCTGAATCTAGTCCAGTCCCTCCCTTAAACATGGCACGGAGATGATTATGTTGTACTGTCTGCTGTAGCCATGGCGACAGCTGCCACAAATGTTTGCATTCCAGATAGGCTTCTTGTGTAAAAGGTATAGACAGTCGCGTAAGCAAGGTTGACAATAAGCGGAAAATGTAATGAAACCACAAAGAAAGTCAACAACAATTCACAAATAATAGCTAATATTAGCTATGATACTAAATTAATACTTATAAGATTTTGCAGAATTTTGTTATATTTGGTTATTATTGATATTTAATCCATATATTTTTAGCTTTTAGATAATTACAGCAATTTATAAATCGAATTTCCATCAACGTATTGTTATCCAGAGCATCCCAAATTCGTTGTGCTACAGATAATTGGGGATTTCTTTTGGTGTTTCGCTCTGTTTTTCGGGGTCCCCACAACAAAATGTATTTAGCATAAAAATTTACGATAATGACCGCACAGAACAACGGCAGCGACACGAGCACCGCACCACGACCATCAGCGGAGGCAGACATCGCATCAAATTTCGCATAGGCAAATAGACGACAGACATCCCTAGCCACACACCAAAGAGATATACAAAGGGGGGCAAATACCAGCAGTCGACGCCTATTGTGGCCAGGATCTAACGAGAGCTGTGGTTCAGGGTTCAGGTTCTCCATTCAAAAGTGTCTTTGGCCGTCTAATGCTCAAAGTTAAATTAATATTTTCGCCATTGCCGCAACGCAAATCAACGCAATACGAACAAGAAACTTGTTTTGGCGTTGATTCCTCTTAGGATCTCGCAATTCAAAAATTGACGAATATTTTCTGCGGTTTAACCAGCAGTCAAAGTCAACTGTTGTCGGTTTTTCTAGCCAACAGAGAATTTTCGTTTTCGTGTTTCGCATGTTTCCTCTTACTTTTATATATTTTCAGGGAGATTAGCAAAGTTTTGTGCAGTCATTTATTTAAACTTTTTGCTCGGCAGTGGGCAAGTGGAAAAGTGGGAGACTGAGAGAGTGAGAGACAGCGACAGCAAGAGAGATGCCAGATATCTCGTACATAAATTGTGTAAAACGAATTTTGATATCCTGATAATCGCATTTGGAACGCTGCCTGAAGGATAATCGCAAAATAAAAATACAATTTCCCTCTTCAAAATATTTTGCTGCAATGGGCGAAGGATATTGTCACTTATGTTTAAGATCTTTATAATGATAAAAATATAAAAAAGGAATATATTATGTACCTACAGATTTCAGTCCCACAAATTTTCATGATAAATGTTCCCCAACAAAGTGATGCACTTTTCGTTTGAATAAATACTAAATGCACATGATATTTTGGTTTCAAAATGCGATATTCGTTTGCAAAGTGAAATGAATTTATTTGTGGCAGCACGATGCGTCCGATGTACACACATGAGATGTGGCAAACTTGTGGGGCAATGAGAATAAATGCAAAAGAATCCGAAGCACTCCAGGTTGCCATTTACATTTGCATTGGCATTGGCATTTTTTTTTTTTTTCCCCTGAATGATGGCATGTGTGTGTCCTGCTACTGCTGCTGGGCTTACTTCCGGAGGAATGTGGCGAATGGTGCGTGTATCTATAAGTAACATACTGCAGTTGGCTTACGCGACAAGTGCTCTCCTTTTTCCTTCCCTTTCCTTTACTTCCCTTCCTTTTCCCTTCCCTGCCACTGAAGCTCGTCGAAATGCGTCTATAAATTATTCATTTCGTTTGAGATGTTTGATGTGCCTCCAAGTAGCATGATGTCCTCCTCACACACCACACAGACATTGCCAATCGGTTTGTTGCCTGTGCATCCTCTGGTTTGCTTTTAGCCGCATTTCATTGAATTCATTCATTTTTTAGCTGCTGCCTCGCGTCTGCCATCCCTTTTCCTTCTGCCTTTCCCTGTTTTCCCTGGTTATTGTTGGTGTTTGCCACAGCTTTGCATAAATAAGATAAACACAAGGATGTGCCACAGTTGCATGGCAGGCGTGGAGGCAGCATGGCTGCAATCCCACGGACTGCAGCTGAAGCCCCAATCCCCAATCCGCAATCCCTCTCCCGCCAGTCCAGACCATCTTCCATCGTCTCGAGTCTCTCGGAGTCGAGGCTGTGATTTATTTTGCACTCAATGTTTGCCAAAGTAAAATTGATTGAAGCGTTTGTTGGCGCTTCAATTGATTTTCACTACAGTCCCTATCGTATGTTCCCCCGTCCTTCCCTCACTCTTTTTTCTCTATGTTGTGCCATGAATGTTCTCGTGGCCAGCGAAGCATTTGAAGTGCTTGGGTGGTGCTCTGGCTCTCAGGATCTCTCTCGGGCTCACAGGCTCTCAACTCTCGTCTTGTTTACAGTGGTTAAATTAACTTTGGTCAATTTGGTTTTTGTCGAGTGGTCGGACACCCGGCTGGACTCCGGACACCCCCCGTTCTCTCCCATCGAACTTCGTTTGATTTTGCCCACACAATAGTGGGTGGTTGGGGGTGGTGGATAATGGCATAACTCTCGGCGTTTATTCATGTTCGTCGTTGGCTCGTGCCTTGCTGTTTAATTGCCGGGCTAAACGATTTGGCCCTTAAAAGGCTGTGCAAAAATCAGCAACAATTCATCAAATGTCGTGCTCTGATTTTATTAACTGACGCTGATGGTGATTGAGGCACATCTGGGGCCATCAACACCTGCAGCCGGCAGTCGATCATCAACCACCGAACTGAAGCGCCCAACTCAGCCACCCAATCCACCCTCAAATCACACCTCTTCCTTCTCCCACCGCCCGCCCGCCCGCCTTTAACAATCGCCAACCAACTGCAGTCGCATAAATCTTGGCCTGTCAAGTGCACACCAGAGTATGGAGAGGCGAAGGCCACACAAAGATGGGGCTAACAAATTGCCAAAAGAAGGAAGAAAGACGTGACGGTAAGTGTTGCAAAAGGGGTGGGTGACACAAGAGAGCGGAACAGCAAGAGAAAGATATATATAATAATAGCAATAATAATTATGCAGGGGATATCGTATAAAAATAAACACGCAACGCAGCCCAACGCAAATGTATACCATTCATTTTTATGAATGGGCATTTATCATAATTAAAAATTCTGCCAGCACCGGGACGAAGGATTCGTTCCCCATAAACAGACACTCCTCTCGCGCCCGCATACAGACACTCAGATGCCACAGTTTCTGACCTAAGACACACGCCACAGGACTCGCTCTCTCTCTCTCAGAGAGAACGAGAGTGCGTCACAGCAAAAGCCGACAAAGAGGACAACGACAGCGAATTTCTTTTTATGTTTTTCCTTTTTTTTTTGCTTTTTGGAGGGGCTTCATTGGCTTCATTTCTGGGGGAACAGCTGTTGCTGTTTTGGGCGCTTGGGACAACTTTGGGACAGAGTTTTGGGGCATTGGAAGAGTCGGGTGGCTCTTTGTTGGTGGCATTGGTGTACGGGCCACAGCGCATGTCCGTCAAGCGTCCCACCCAAAGCGCCGGAGTCTCTCTTAGATGACTCTCTTTGCTTGGGCTACTGCCAATTGACGTGCTGTTCGGCTTGTGGGGTGCTCGGCTTTTCTTTTTGGGGAACACGAGCTCGGGTTCCTGGCGGGGGCATGCATTGTGGCTGCTGCCATCCACTGGCTGCCATCGCCACTTTGAATGCCTTTGTCGTGGGCTTCAGTTGTGTCCAAGGGCCAAGTGCGGAATCATTTTGTTGCGGCTACTCTACGTACTAGTGCATCCTGCCACGAGCTACGTACTACATCCTGCTACGGACTGCAAGCTGCGACTAAGGACTATCGTGTGTCGGTTGTGAGTTGCCTCGTGGCTTACGCTCAGTTTAATCAGTGATTAAGATGTTGCCCAGACCGCTAATCGGATGAGGCATTCGAGCAAGTGTCATCTGAATAAAAGTTCGGTACATATCTCTTTTGCCGCGCCAGCAAGCCCAACAGCCCAACACAGCAAATAACAACAACAAGAAACAAGAAAGAAAGCCACAAGTTCAAGTAAATCCGCAGATATTTCCACCCATATACATATACTCGTGTGTATATTTGTGTGGCTCTCTGTGTGTCATGTGCGTATCTGTGTGTGTATCTGTGTGTATAATGCGTATGTAATCCAAGCAAATCTGTCACGTGTTTCGGATATCTTTTTGGGAAGCCTGGAGCCGGAGCTAAAGGAATTTATTGAAAAAAAAGGTGAGGCCAATCCCCGCACGCATATGGCAGATTGTGAAACCATGAACCAGTATTGCCCCCACAATCACGTGGAAAATTAAAATAGTTAAGCAGCTTATGGAGAAGGCATGGTTTAATAAAAACAAGGCCACCACCACCTCTTTATATATGGTTATTGATAATTGAATATAAATTGGTTATTTTTTCCAAAAGGGGGCACGGGGATCAAATGGGGCTTATAATTGTGCTACTCTTATGATTTATTGGCCGGCGGGAATTCGAATATTATTGGAATGAAATTGAGATGTGAATGGGTTGGGCATCATATCTTTTTGGTGTTTGGGAATTTGCATTAAAATTACACCATGTTTATTCCAAACTTAACTAATTTCTGCCAATCCCTAAAGTTCACAAAAGGTGAAATTAAACCTTTTCTCCCCCATTTAAATCCCGACCTAATGGTCACCCCAAAGGGCATTCCTGCCGTCGCTTTAATCAACATTTAACCTTTATGTTCTGGAAAGTTGCCCAAATTAAATGACAGAATTTGATTAGACCCACACACGCAACGAGACGAAAGTTTTGAGGGTGCCCCAGAGCTACTCCTGCTCCTTTGGTATAATGAACGAGAGAGGTTGTGCTCAAGTACTCGTATCTATGTCCCTTGGCTGGCAGATCTTTCACCCCCTGCCCAACCTAATTGTTTATTTAACAGCAATGAAAAAATCATTACGCATTTCATTTGGCTTTCGTACTTCGTACTTCAAAAGGTGAAATTCTCATGAAAAATTGTATGAATAAGTTGAAAAGTTTTTAATGCATATCAAAGTTATGCCTGCGAATCACAAAATCGAAAAAAAGAAACACAAAGCATGGAATTCGACTAACAAAATGTCGATTTAAAATGCAAAATGAAATGACAAACAAATGGGGGAAATGCCATTGAAGGGAGACAGAGAGAGACAGACGCAGGACGCAGGTCTGATATTCCATGAGCAATTTGTTCACGTATTATAATTTGTTTGTACACCGTTGGTTTGCCCTTGTCCTTGTGCCCTACTCCTACACACACACACACACACACACACACACACACACACTCTTCCTTCCTCTCCCTTTCTCTCTCAGTTAATGTCATTTGCATCATTCGCATATATACGCAGATTTTTTACCAACTTTTTTTGTTGTGTGTTGGCCATATTTTATGGTTTGCCGCCTGTCCCTTCCTGTCCGGACCGGTTCGCGTGCATTAATAATTTAGTTGTCCTTTCGCTGTCGCTTTTGCAACATCGAGTCTTGACACTCGCTGGAAAACGTGTTGGCTGTTTGGCCCTTTTTCTGGCCTTTGGTTTGATTTTGTTTTTCTCGGCTTTTGGCCAGCAGCTACTGGAATGGGGACAACTTGTGGCTATCTTTCAGTACAGTATTATTTAAATAATTTGGTGTACATTGACGTAGTAAGTACTTACGTCTTAATCGAAAGTAGTTAAACTTTACCTGCAGATAAGCGCCTTTTCCGGTATTGTCTGGTCAGAAGATTATGACATTCAACGCTTCTTAGTTGCCACAAAAGAGCCCAACTAAGCTTTACTCTCCCTAGAATTTTCTGTTCCAAAAACAACAAGAAATTTCCACAATTTTCATCCTCAAGCTTAGTGGAGATCTGTCTCGAAGAACAATGACAAAACTGAAATCCATTAACTAACCGAGGTTCTACCAGGCACAACCAACACTTCATTTCCACTCCACTTCAGATGGCAAACGAAGAGAGAGATAGAGCGAGAGAGAGAGAGAGAGAAAGTAGAGACAGAAAAATGGCACAAAGTCTGTGCAAAATTTGTGTTGTTATGAAAAATGATATTAAATCGCATTTTTCATTATTATTTTGTCCGTGGAAATCGCGTCTTTCTTCATCTTGTCAGACAGTTGTCTACGGCCTCCGAGAACTCAACCCAATTTCACAGAAAAATGCAACAACAACTATGAGTACCTCAAGGCTCGTTTGCCGCCGTTGTTCCATTTACCATCTCCATCCTCTGCTGTTGCGTTTTTGTCCTTTTCTGCGATTTAGACTGCAGCTGGAAAAACGGCGCAGGCACAAAGAAAAGTCTACAGTAATAGCAAAACGGAGGGAGGAAGAGCAAGTTGGGAAATTCAGAATAATGAGGAAACTAACGAGCCAAGACTTTCTCATTGTTTACTGGCGCAAAAATTGCGCGATTATTAATTTTCTATGCTATTTTGTAGCTCTTTTTATGGGCCGCCTCCGACATCTCCTTGCCCTTCACTCCCCTCCCGCTTTTTCATACCCTTAAAACCCTCGCTTGGCTGTTTCATCTTCTTCTGTGTTTCCTGCTACTGGCGCACAGCTCACAATTTTCGTGTATATATAAAATATACATTTTTTTTTGTAATATTTCGCAATATTCGCCACGTTTTCTTTCACTTTTTTTGGCGCGTGCAAGTAATGGCAATGCAGAAGGGGCTTTCGTGAGCAGAGGGGAGTAGAGAGTGAGGGGCGGAGGCCCAAAAGAGTTGAGTCGTTGGCGGCAGTCAAGTTTTCCCATGGAGTTCATCGCGTTTCACCCACATGTTGTGTATACTTCACTTTAACTGACACATTTTCGCGTTGTTTTTCTTCAGCCGCTGCGCTGCCTCTTTTGGTTTTTGTTTTTCTTTGGCTGTTATTTTATTCATCTTTTCTCTACTGTGTTCCACGCCTTGAATGCTAATGAAAAGGCTGAGAAATTAAAGTTCTACCCATGGTCTCTCCCCATGTAAAAACTTACTCAAAGCGAGAGGTTTTGTTCACTTAGAAAGAGCGAAACTTAACCAATTCAAAGGCAATAACAGACAGGCACTGGCAGAGGAGAATTTTCTAGAATTATGGAAATTTTCCAACAAGTTTTGTTAACAACTTTGTTAGTTTTATGTTTTCTTATCTCTGTGACGATATAAAAGACATTTCATAGAATCTATTTTATCTTTTTTAGGTAAGCAAAAAGAAGACAGAAAAACAGAACACTCCATTGCTGCAGCGTTGGGATGGTTTGTCCTTCAGCACAGACAGGTGACATGTGTGTAAATAAATTTTTAATTTAAAATAAACATTGTGTATTAAATTAATGCGCCCTGGCCGGAGCGGAAGGTGCAGTCCGATGCGAATCGAGAGTCAATATCCGCTCTGAATGACACTCAGACACACGGGCATACGCGACATGGCATCAAATCCAATTAGTTAATATGAATATTTGATGAAATCCCTTCCATTTTCAAATGCTGAAAAAAACTCTTATGTCCACACGATGATGATCGTCATCGTAATCATTTGATGTGATGGTTTAGTTTTTTATGTGCATTGATGTGGGAGGTTTTTAAACTTTTTTCTGAACTGTAAACCTTAACGCATTCTCTCCCGTCTGCAAAGTCATCGTGGGGTTGGACTCTGGCCAGTCGTTTTATGTGGAAATTATTATATAAATTTATACTTTTTTGTGTTGTTCCCTTCCCCTCCCACACCACACAATGACCACAATTTGCAACTTTTTGTGGCACTTTGTCAGTGCGAAACATGTCAAAATGTTTGTGCCACTGAAAATGTATTTAAATATTTTATTTGTCACGCATTGCGAAAGTTTTTTAGAGAGTGAATGAATGTGGACGGAATTTTACTCTGACTTGTGTTTTTTTTTCAGGAAACCGACTCATTGGCATTGTTAATATAATAATCTTGATGCAACATGACAATAAAGTAATCCGAATATTTTGATAAGTTGAATTTTATATTTATGCCTTTTGCGTGATATATTCTTAAGAGTTTCTTTTAAACAGGGAACAAGGGAAATGAATGCATTTAATATAAACCTTACACCATTTTATTGACACTTTTTGATTGTTTTTCCCCTTGTGTACGTGATATTTTGCTTATATTTGTTCTACCATAAACCCCATTCTAAGGCGCAAACTTTATCTTCAGGCTTTTGCTGAATTGAATTTTTAATTCTTTTCGGGGTTTTTCACCTCTGTTTTGTACTATTTTTATTTCGCTTTTGTTCTATTTGTAGTCGTCGCTTGTTTAACTTTTTCGGGGAATGGCTGCACAGTTTCGGCTTCTTGTTGCTTGTTTGTTCTTGCCACACACACATGCAGCCATTTGTGCCATACAATTTTAACGAGTTGCGGTTGGAGGAGCACTGCTCCTCTGGCTCCTCCTCGTTCGCTTTGCCCCTTTTTTGCCCACAAAAAATGTCACGCATTGTTTAATATTAATTTCATTTTCAGCGCCGTTCCGCCGAATATACATTTTGTGAGCTGTGTTTCCTTTGCTTTAATTGTTGACAGATTCCACAAATTTAATTTAATTTTTGTGATATTTTTCGTGTGGATTTTTCTTGCTAATAGACCACCAAATGTGCAATAAAATTGTTAGGATAATAATGGAATTTGTTAATCTTTGATTAAAATTCGTTTTTTCCCAGTGACATAAACTCTATAAATTCTATTGAAATTCATTGTTATATTAGCTATAAACTCTATTCACAATTTTGAGCAGGAAATAGTGATTTTCCACCTTAATGGAGCAAAATTCATTAAATGCATGGTTTTGCATGGAAAAAAGTTGCAACATCGTTCAACTGTCGAGCAAACCTGCAAATTGGTTAAGCTCATTAAATGGGAATTTTAATTAAATACATATATAAACCTCGAAACAGAAAAAACACACAAAAAATTTGCAGAGTTAAAACTATGTCATAAAAAAGTGAAACAATATACAAATTCCTACCGAAAAAAATTAGACAAAGTTGGAGGGAGAAATCTGAACCGATTGAAAAGCCACCGCTACCGCAAAAAGGCAAAAAACTAAGTATGGAAACAACAAATACCCGGCACACACGGAGAGGCAGATAGGCAGAGAGAGATATGTGGACCACAAAGAATAATGCCCATTTATCCTGCCCCAAAAAAAGAATACCATTTATTAGGGGCGAGGCGCCGCCGAGTAGCCCAGCAGGCAGACAATA